CAGACCTCTATCTTAAGTATTGGTAAAACAAAAATGGTTATTGCCAACACTAACAGATACTTCTGCTACATGGCACAGCAGGAGGGCCTACAAATTTGATGAATAGAATGAAGTCTGATTTACCAGAAATGTATAACCCCTACCTGATATCTGTATTTTATAACATGTTCATCATTGCAAACATTCAAGGTTCCAACACACTCCAATTAAAGTGAACACAAACAGAAACCCATACATTTTTCGGAGAATATCACAAACAGCTTTTTATTTACTTTATGATAGTCTGTTTTGATAATGCTGTTTTGGGAAAGCCAAGGTGAAGAAAAACTTCTGATTTTTCACTGTAAAGGCAATGAGGTTTGCATTCACTGACCTCACTGGAAGTAGACTGAACAACAAACAACTTGTAAGAAGGCCCTCTATCTTGAATTTCCTAATAGGATTTCAGGCTTTTATCTTATTCCTTGGTAATGCTATGTGTTGTACATGATCTTCATGTGAGAAGAACTTGGAGCATAAGGATCAGTTCACAGGTCATGGAAGGAGGGGCTGGCCACTTGGGAGGAATATAAGGCTGCTGCTAGAGGATGTAGGAAGGCAGCTAGGAGGACTAAGGCCTCCTCAGAATTAAACCTGGCGAGAAGGGTCGAGGACAGCAAAAAGAGCTTTTTCAAATACATGGCAGATAAAACTAACACCAGAGGCAATGTAGGCCCACTGATGAACGGGATGGGTGCCCTGGTGACAGAAGATACAGAGATGGCAGAGTTACTGAATGCCTTCTTTGTCTCTGTCTACTCTGCTGCAGGCAGTCCTGAAGAGCTCTGTACCCCTGAGACCTTAGATGAAGTCAGGTCAATGGAGAGGTTTGCCTTACTCAATGAGGAATGGGTTAGAGACCGGTTGAGCAATCTGGACATCCATAAATCCATGGGTCCAGATGGGATGCACCCGCAGGTGCTGAGGGAATTGGCGGAAGTCGTTGCTAGACCACTCTCCATCATCTTTACCAAGTCTTGGGAAACGGGAGAGGTGCCTGAGGACTGGAGGAAGGCAAATGTCACTCCAGTCTTCAAAAAGGGCAAGAAGGAGGACCCGGGTAACTATAGACTGGTCAGCCTCACCTCCATCCCTGGGAAAGTGATGGAACACCTTATCCTTGGTGCCATCTTAAGGCATATCAAGGATAAGAGGGTTATGAGGGGCAGTCAACATGGCTTCACCAGGGGGAAATCATGTTTGACCAATCTCTTAGCCTTTTATGAGGAAATAACACGGTGAATAAATGATGGCAGAGCGGTGGATGTGGTCTACCTTGACTTCAGCAAAGCATTTGACACAGTCTCCCACAGCATCCTCACAGCTAAATTGAGGAAGTGTGGTCTGGATGATCAGGTAGTGAGGTGGACTGCGAACTGGCTGAAGGAGAGAAGCCAGAGAGTTGTAGTCTATGGGGCAGAGTCTAGTTGGAGGCCTGTAACTAGTGGAGTGCCTCAAGGGTCAGTACTGGGACCGGTATTATTTAATATATTCATCAATGATTTAGATGAGGGAATTGAGTGTACTATCAGCAAGTTTGCTGATGACACTAAGCTGGGAGGAGTGGCTGACACGCCAGAAGGCTGTGCTGCCATCCAGTGAGACCTGGACAGGCTGGAGAGTTGGGCAGGGAATAACTGGATGAAATATAACAAGGGAAAGTGTAGAGTCCTGCATCTGGGCAGGAACAACCCCAGGTTCCAGTATAGGTTGGGGAACGACCTGTTAGAGAGCAGTGTAGGGGAGAGGGACCTGGGGGTCCTAGTGGACGACAGGATGACCATGAGCCAACACTGTGCCCTTGTGGCCAAGAAGGCCAATGGCATCCTGGGGTGTATTAGAAGGGGGGTGGTTAGTAGGTTGAGAGAGGTCCTCGTTCCCCTCTACTCTGCCCTGGTGAGACCGCATCTGGAATATTGTGTCCAGTTCTGGGCCCCTCAGTTCAAGAAGGACAGGGAGCTGCTGGAGAGAGTCCAGCACAGGGCAACAAAGATGATTAAGAGAGTGGAGCATCTCCCTTATGAGGAAAGACTGAGGGAGCTGGGTCTCTATAGTTTGGAGAAGAGGAGACTGAGGGGTGACCTTATTAGTGTCTATAAATATATAAAGGGGGAGTGTCACGAGGATGGAGCCAGGCTCTACTCAGTGGCAAACAATGATAGGACAAGGGGTAATGGGTACAAACTGGAACACAAGAGGTTCCACTTAAACTTGAGAAGAAACTTCTCAGTGAGGGTGACGGAACACTGGAACAGGCTGCCCAGGGAGGTTGTGGAGTCTCCTTCCCTGGAGACATTCAAAACCCGCCTGGACACATTCCTGTGTAACACTATCTAGGTGTTCCTGCTCCGGCAGGGGGATTGGACTAGAGGATCTTTCGAGGTCCCTTCCAATCTCTAGCATACTGTGATACTGTGATACTGTGATCAAAACAACACTGATGCTTTTCCAGACGAGTAACAAAACATGGTACTAGCACTCTGTATCTGCCATAGCAGAGTACTTAGACATCTAATTGTTTTGTAAATACCAAAATTTCTACTCAATATAATATAGCAAAGATTATCTGCCAAAGCCTTTCTGAGATTATCATAATACTGTGGAAAAAATGCTGCTGCTGACTCTGCTGTATTTCAGTAACTAAGCAGAATTTCCCAGGCAAGTTACTTGTTAGTTAATTACAGCATTACATTTCCAGAACTAAAAATTAAAGCAGAAACAAATCTAAAAATAACATCAGATTGTGCCTTTTTTCTCCTCGGTACCCTGAACAATAATCTACTCCTGTGTTTCCAGATTCCAAGTTAGGAACAACACCATCAATATTTAGTTTCTCAAAAAGTCTGAAAACACCTTTGTACTGTGTGGTGAAATAGTTTTGTTTGTGATTCAGAGACTGACAGAGGCCAAATAACATTCATGTTTAACTGAATGTCTTTTCTGCCTAACCACTGGCTTTGCTTTCTGCTTTGCTTCACAGAAGTGTAACTTAGAAACAACTACAGAATAAGGGTTACAGCAGTATGAAGTTTGTGCCCGCAATAAGTTTTATAGCATAATTCTGTATATCCTTACAGTAGTAAAGGAGGTTACCACAAATGTCTCCCTGCCTGATCTATACACTCGGTCTCTTGGTATATGTCAGGAAAGATAAGTCCTGGAAAAGCCATGACCTTACTAGTACTTAGAAAGAAGAAAGACAGAAATGAAGTAGGCAGTGTTCACAGGAGGTTGTTGATGTAGGACGACTACACACATATATTAGTGTTTTCTTAACTAGCAAAATAGTGGGAATGTGAATACATCTCACAAATAAACAATATTGATTTCTGCTCTTAAACAATTGATACTTATTCATGCAAACCTTAGACAGGTATTTTAAGTACTTTTAAAGTCTTCATACAATTGCCTACAGAGTCTTCAGATAAAAGGTTTTCACTCAGGACTACACAAATGAATATGATTTTCTTTTCTGTCTTTTCATCTTCCTCTCCTCAGTACTGCAGACTACACACAACACAATGGAAGGCTTAACACTCTATCAAACGTGAAACCCTTTGTGGCACCTCTGTTAGAAGCACTTCTAAATTCACTTGCCATAAATTCTCATAGCTCTGCACTACACATATAGTGAGGGCTGCATTTATAATACATTGCCAGCTGGGAAGAAGCATGCTGTAAGTGTCTTCAAATGTAGGGTTCCCATTTCTTGACAACATCTTCAATGTTTCAGAAAATGGTGTTCAAAAAAGAACATTCATAGTTAAGGTTAATGGGATCTACATTTGTTTAGCATCTGAAACGAAGTCATTTTAGTGTGGAAAAAAAAAAACAAAACAACAAAAACAAAACAGAAGGGATGTACTTCTTATGCTTGAAAATAAGTTATAAAACCAGCAACCTTAAATGGGGCTATGATGTTTCAGTCATCTGCATCTCCTTGAGTGTGCTCAAGGTATGCTGAGTCTTTGCCTTCACGAAAATGCAAAAGATTAAATACGTTACTCTGCTCTGTTGCCAAAAAGCAAGCTAAGTAATCTGCTTTAGAAAGTTAGCCATTCCATGTGTAAGTTTAAAAGCCTCCATGCAAATACAAAAATTGCGTCTCTTTCGTGTAGGACAAAGAAAAACACAGTACTACATATAGTCCCAGCCTTTTAAAGTCATCACAGTATCATAAATGCTGCCAAGAGATAACTGGCAGGAGCTGGAGATAATTTCCATGGAGAAATCTGAGATAAGCTGTGTCCTGCAGGAATATCTGGAGGAATCCTGAACAACCCTGTATTCATAGAAACAAAATCCGTTTTCTTCAAAAATAAATTTCCCTTACACAAGGCATGTTTGGCATTCAGAGATTCTTGCATTCTGGAGATAATTAACTTTTTATATATTGCAATAGCAAGTTCTTGGTTGTAAGCTCAGTCGTCTAAGAAGAGTGAAGAATGTGGCACTGTTTAGTTTGTTGTACTTGACACATTTTTGTTCTTGGAAGGAAAAACAGAAATAGAAATAAGATACGGAGATGAGAGATGAATTCTCACCTAGTTTTCATGTATTATGCATACTCTCATTTATGCAATTTAAAGCACTGTTTTGATGCTGGCACTTGGCATTAAAGCTTAGAGAGTCTTTCTCCAATATTTATTTATTTTAATTAGTATTTTTTACAGGCTGAGAAAGTGGGGGCTGTTCAGCCTGGAGAAGAGAAGGCTGCGTGGAGACCTCATAGCAGCCTTCCAGTATCTGAAGGGGGCCTATACGGATGCTGGTGTGACACTCCTCATTAGGGACTGTAGTGATAGGACAAGGGGGAATGGGTTTAAACTTAAACAGTGAAAATTCAGGTTAGATATAAGGAAAAAGTTCTTTACTGTAAGGCTCTTGAGGCACTGGAATGGGTTGCCCAGGGAGGTTGCGAATGCTCCATCCCTGGCAGTGTTCAAGGCCAAGTTGGACAGAGCCTTGGGTGGCATGGTTTAGTGTGAGGTGTCCCTGCCCATGGCAAGGAGGTTGGAACCTGATGATCTTAAGGTCACTTCCAACCCAAACCATTCTATGATTCTATGTATCTATAAAATCATTGCTCCTTTTAATTTATTAAGTTGAACAAGAGCAAGCAGCACTGGTGAACAAAAAAAACACTTTTGACTTTCCCAGAAACTTATGATTTCGTATGAGTATCTCACTCTGTTTCACTCACTCATTAACAGGATATTCAATGTTATCTCATTAATATCACAGTGCTTCTGATTCTAAAAAAGCATTTATAACTGCTTAATTAAGCCCTGTGAACCTACTCCTGTTACAGCAGTAAAACCGATGGTTCTTAACCTACATAACCTTCTGTAAAAAAATAAAATCTAAAAAATAATATCTGCCAAAACTGAGTGCAAACTGCTTACGTAAAATGTCACAGAATTATTCGCAGATAAAAAAGAAGCAGGCTCCCTACTTTGAGATACTGCTCTGCTTCTTTGTCCCACAAGGCATACAGGAGTGTTAAAGTATGTTCACTGTAGGTATGCAATTGAGGAGCACAAGCTAAAGTGCATTATATTCTTCTCTCAGTGCTCTCATAGAGAAATAAAGTGGTCTTGATTCTCTACAGTTAAATCCTTCTTAGTTTAAGCCTGGCAATTTCAGCCTACTTTACTTCTCAAAGAAAGAATCCACACTGGGGTTTAATGTACTTGGGTTCTGACATAACCGTGACTTTGAAATCTCTGGCTGAAATACCTTACATAAGAGGTAATTATTATGCCATTACTCACTTATTCAGACCATTAAAATGTCTATGGCAACAGGAGCATTCAAGAGAAATTTTAAAGGACAGCAGCTTTTTGCAATGTGCTGCCATGTTCACTAGAACTGACTTTTGACCTGTACAAAAGACTAAGACTTTTTCTGCCAAAATTTTTTGGCAGCCTGTCCAAACTCACTCATACAACAAATATAGTGGTTTCACATCTATTCATTAAGTCCTACCATGAGATTGCAGTGTGTGAAGAAGCAGAAACAGACATTTTAAACCCTTTGACTCACTGCAGCCAATTGCTGAAATAACCTGAAAATGTTTTTTTTCCAGTACTGCAGTTCTCATCTTGATTGAAGCTCACTGGTGAAGACTGAGAGCATCAGCTGACGAAGCAGCTGAGTCAGTTCACTGATCACTAGCATTTCAACTGGTCTGAACAGTTCCAGTAGGTCAGAAAACTTATCGAGATTTGAAAGATGTTTTGTATCATTCTGTCACAAAAACAGACACTCCAAAACTGTTGGTTCTTTCAGAAAAAAAAAATCTAGCTTTAAAACTTAGTGCAGCAAGGTGTCAGGAAGCAGACGCTTAAAGGAAATAACATTCTGGCAATTACTGCTTTCAAAAAATGCATTTTTTTGGTTTGGAGGGTTGACTTGTTCAGAGCTGGGACTACCGGTATTTGTGAAAAGCTTTGATTTGCTTTTACAAAACAGACATAAGGAAATCTTCCTCAACCAGTACAAGACTGCCCTTGAAGCAGTTCCAAAAAAACAACTTTGGTCAAGAAACATATCCTTAATCTGTCTAAAAAAGAAGTTCAGTACTAAGTTATACAATGATGTGGACTATGATATATGGTAATTTGAAGATGTGAACACACAGCTCAATTGCTGCTTGACCCTATTCAAGGAAGTAAAAAAGGATTGCTCTTGAAGTTTGCTTTATGGTCATACAAAATGATGCAACATTTCAATACACACTAGTAACAAACCCACAATTTTAACTGGCTGCACAAGCTTTTGGAAGATTCACTAATGACAATGCTTGGAAGACACCATCATCCACTGCCCCATTTAGATCAGTCTCTCAGATTAGATAAATCCCACTTAGCATTTTTCATTTATCTGCAACCCATTCACTGTTGACTAGAAATAACCTTATCATATAAAATTGCATTCAAAAACATCCTCAAAACTGCAGTTCTAGAGAGTACTGATACTTTACATTATAGGTAAACTGAAGTAAGAAGGTTGAAATAGTTACCTGATGTCTCACCACTAGAATATCTTTGATCAAAACTAGCACAATTCCTTCCTAATCTAATTCATTGGGTTTAAAAACATGCCATCATGTTTATCTTTTCAACCTTTTCCTTTCAAGCACAGAGCTAAGTAAACGGAAAAAGGTTTTAGACTGAGTTAGAAGGTAGACTGCAGTTGGACAAGATACTATTCATAGCTTGAACAGACAAAAGCACAAAATCACAGCATGCTTATTTGCACAGCTTTCATTGACCAGAGCTCCCCTGCAAGTGCTTCCCAACATCTGTGATCACATCGTGTTTATCCACAGCACTGTCCTATCCTGGCCTGATGCATGGCTCACACTTTTGTGAGCCTATAGGCACTTTGTAAATCCATTACTTCTGCTTCTCTTTATATAACTGTATGATACATCAGACATAATCATGGTCTTTCATGTCCTTTATTCATAAACTTTAGAATAAGTTAACAAAGCAACAGACTATAAGAATAAAATGCCAAATTTTAAGAGAGAATTTGGAGAAATTTGTGTAATATCAGGATAGATTTGCTTCTTGAAAGGTTAAATATTATATGTACTTGAGCCTAGAAAACGTGACAGAAATAGGTTAGAAATCATTAAAAGCATTAGGTTTAGTACCACACCTAACCCAATTAAGAACAAAGCAAGGAGAAAGAAGCAAACTCTTCTGTTAGAAATACTGAATGTCCACACCTGGTTTCTATTTGTAAATAAAGAATAACATACTACATGTTTGAGCCTGTGTGGTGTACACAGCTGTACAGTATACTGTAAGGGTTACAGTTGCAATTTACAAGCAAGAGCATCTGTATCCTGCATTGTCACAAGCTAGGATCCAAGGCAGAACTAATATAGCTGTTATATATCCACCAGTGGCAGTCTGGAACTCAAACTAGAAGGCTCTGCCCACTAAGGGATGTTTTCTTCATGACAATAATGTCACTGCAGGAGATGAGAGAGCATGTCTAGGAGTCAACCATATGCCTTGCCAGGCAGTAGCATCACTCTATATAGTACAGTGGATGAAGTCAGCTGAAATATACCTTTTGTAAAATCAAACAGAAAAACTCAACTCCAAAAACCCTGTAAGGCTGAAAATGAAACACTGTCTGGTGTGGTGGCATCACTGATAAGTGTAATCCTGGGTGAGCTGGAGACTTATGACAGGAAAGTACCCATAAACCAAAAACCAGCTCCAGCCAGCATGTCTAAGTATTGATTGCTCTATCTGCTTCACGGCATGTAAACTCTAATATTTTTTGCTGAGAATAACTTCCTGGAAGTGTTACTTGAAAACTACTAGTACCAAATGCCCCCTGACTATTTAATATGCAGTATTTTATCATCAACATCAGTAGGGTGGAAGATGCTTATTAAAATCAGCAGGGAATAACAGGGTTTCTTCTGGTTTCACCAGAGGGTAAATCAGGTTCATTTAATGGGTGTAAATGAGATTAGAAGTAGACCATCTGCACATACTTCAGACAGCTTATTGTAACATGAATATAGGTGTTTATTCATAACAGTGTAAATGCTGTAATTTCTCACTGCCTTTGTCCATTTTTTAAGTATTTTCAGACATATATACATACTGATGTCAGAGGAAACCATTAGATCATCTGCTGTGACTTTCTCTATGTACTTGGCCTTTAAATTTTACCTAATTAGCTAATATTCACTGAAAATGCTTGTTTGTAACTCACACTTGACTAAAACATAGGTTTTGTTGCACTAAAATACATCCCCCAGGAAAATACTCAGTTTTGATTTGAAGACATAAAAATTGAAAATGTCAGTTCTCACACCATTTTGTTCCACTAGTTAGTGACACCTTTCCCCTGAAATCATACCGCTAATTTGTTTTGCTTCACCTTTCTACTAAGAGCTTTTCTTTATCTGCTAAAGAGCTTTTTCCTGTAACATATTTTCTACCCCAAGAGATACACAATGTTAGACAAAAATTTTCATCACAAACTAAGCAAATTCAATTCTTTACATGTATGTGTACGCTACAACAAAACAAACCAAAACCTTCCATCTTAACCTAAGTAGTTCTCAGTCTCAGATTAACCACACTAAACTATCAATTGCTAAAAAAGTGATAAAAACACTGTCAACTTGGTTTTAATTTCAGCTAGCAGCCAAATTTCTTTTACACCCCTAAAAAATTTGGAACTTCTACTTTTATTATCTACTCTGCTATTCTTACTTGAGTTAGCTAACTCAGATTTGGCAACCCAGATTAAGAACACTCCTTTTTTTTTCTTTACTATTGCAAATGTACTTAGGAGTTCTTTCTTCCAACCACACTACTCAGAATTCTCTCTGACAGAGGCAGAAGAAGATGTGACTGTATCTTAGTATCCCCAGGGCACTTCCCAGCCCATCAGTGCCATCAGCAATGCGAAGTGCTGAACTATAGTCTGGACTGGTTGAAGTGCAGGCAAATGGCCCATTCTCCCACTTCTGTCGAGAAGACAGTGATGCCTTTACTAGAATGGTAAAGTTTAAACTCATTGCAGCTAAATACAGCCCTCTAACTGCTGACTATCCAGGGTGCCACACAGTCCAGCTCAGAAATGTTATGTGTTTATTTCTACAGATTAAATGGTCCCATTCCCTCCAATTCATACTTTTTTCACTAGGGAGAAAATGAATGAATTAAAAGACAGTTAAAATACACACATCTGCAGAAACCAGGCATTTCAAAGAGAAGACTGTTGTTACAGCTCAAGGTTTCAGCTGAAGGAAAGGATCAAAATTAATGATGACCTCAATTAAATTTCAATAGTATCTCTGGGGAAACCTCAAGCCATATGTTGAAATCCCCTTAATGATAATGGTTATTACTTGTTCTCCCATCTAGGCTAAAGGAAAAGCTTATGCCTCACGTTTCTGTGTTGGAGGACAGAATGTACCAAATGTACCAAAATGATGGTGTGATGAAGG